AAAAAAAAAAAAGAGAAACATAAATATTGTCATCATTAAGTTATTCTTGTCAGAAGTATATATCAAATATTGATAATTGCATAAAAAGAAAGGAAAAAAAAAAATTGTATAATAATACTCTGCATGCAAAAAGAGAAATAGTGAACAATATTCAAAGTCACGTTACGGAACCATTCCGTCGAAGTTTGTAACCGTTAGATCAACTATCCACGACGGTTACGTGATGATTTAACAGTTACAAATCTCAACAAAATTATTCCGTAACGAGATTGTAGCATTTCTCCAAATTATATCATCTGCCAATCTCACAAAAGTTAACACTAAGTGCATGTTTGCTTTCCAGGATAAGGCAGGATATCCCGCCTTATCCTGCCTTAATCCCATGATAAGGCAGGATATCCCGCCTTATCCTGCCTTAATCCCATGTTTGGTTGCTAAGATCCGGCCCTGGATAGATAGCTTGGCCCGAGATTAAAATTGCTTTTATACCATGACAGTGGGATAAGTCCATCCCTCATTTTTGGTGGGATTCAGATAATCCCACAGGTTTGGATTATTTTTCTCCAATCCCATCCCACCAAACAAACATGGGCTAAAAGTTTTGCGCATCATATAAGTGGAAAAATATTATGAAAAATATTATGATAAACCAAATTCAACGCTTTTCTTTATTATTATTATTATTATTATTATTATTTTTATGTCAAAGTAGACCCCTCAACGTGGCTCACAGTAATAACACACTACTTCTCAATTTAAAAATGAAAAAATAAAATTAAAATAATTTCAACTATAATTTTCCTTTAGCAGTTGATTTGCACATTAAATTAAGACTTAAGACTAATATGTGTTATAAATATAAAAATATATTCTAATGGCTATTCTCGAAAAATAGAATACAAACACTACAAATATACTCTTTACAGTTGATTTGTCACTCTAAGCAGAGGCAATACTGAGGTGATATTTGTAATTTTGACACATAAGAAAGGGGCTTCTGTAACTAAGATAAACTTCCAACCTCAAGGGGCATAGCTTTTGAAGGGGCAATAATAAAAACAGTATCCTTGCAAAAATTCTAAACTTGCAAAAATTCTAAATTATATTTTTTTTTACTGAGCAGCAAAAAAAACAGAAACCTCAATTTTTGTTCTTCCACATCCATTCCTGCGAAGCCTGAACACTCTGCGCCACACGAAACAAATTACTATACACCAAAATCGAAAAATCAATTATGATCAACGAGAATGACCTTCCCAATTCTAACCTGTTGGTTTCGTGTGGGGTTGGTTACTTGACCGGTCTCTGCAGGTATTTGACCATACCTATGTTCCTGATTCTTCCACAAAAGTCCAAAGTAACGAATCAGTAGGTTTAGTTAAAACAAAATTAGGCATCAAAGTAAACTCTTAAACGCTCAGGAAGCCACAAAAATGTAACAATCAAAGAAGTACGCCACAAAAAAAAAAGCCACCCGATCAAGTATACTTCTGGTAGTGGTTCCAAACAAAAGGCCAATGCGTAAGAAATGCACATTCATGCAAATAAACATAGGTTACTTGTGAATCAATCATTCATGAGCACCTAAACAGGATATATCTATCAGAATGTGAATAAACTTAAAAAGCACACAACAAACAGGAACATGCATGCCAATGGTTGAGTTAATAAACAGACAAACAACCAGGAAAAGATCGCCAGATATTTGGTAACATGTACCTTACTGCCCAGTGCGGCGGAGAACCCAGTAACCTGGTGCTGCTGGGAAAAAAACAACTGGGTTAACATCTAAATGAAATAAAGTAAGAATATAAGAGAAAACACATATACCAAAAACTAACCAAGCTTTGAGTAGCATGCTGTAATGGCTTGGGCTGGTTTTGAAGCTGCCCGTATTGACCTTGAAGCGGTACTTGCATCTGAGGAGCCTGTACCTGAGGATGTTGGATAGGTTGCTTCTGTTGCTGCTGCTGCTCATATAGTGTCAGCTCTTCAGGTTTTTCCCACTGCAAATAACTAGTCGGTAAGAAACATGCATACCCTCCTTTTTGCTTTTGGTGAAATAAGCCGTTCTTATAGTGATTGTACAGATAGCACAAGATTACCTTGCTTTCACCAGTCAGGCTGTTATAATAGTACTTGAAACCATCAGGAGACGTGTGCTCTGTCCAGTTACAACTAACTGTAGGGATGTCTTGCTTAGTAGCCATGGCAGGTGTGATTGCAGTTACATTTCCAGCTGGCTGGAAAACTGAGGTGTTTGCAACTGGCTGGGGCAAAGTACCAGACCAAGGTTTCTGGGGAGAGAGAGAAAGAGAGAGGGAGAGAGGGAGAGAGAGATTACACCAAATGGTTGATAAAAACACAACAGCCTCAGGTCTTACAAAATACATCGCATATTTATCCTACTGAGAACCTATACATTACATATAAAACTACTGCAATTATAAACGTAACAAGAAATAAAAAGGGGAAGCAAATCAGTCTTACTGGAATCTCTCAATCAGCATCTCAAAAATTAATCACCAAATAATCTACAGTATATTTCCTTCGTATTTCCATCTATATCAGCCAGAATATAGAATATTGGTGCGAACACAACGCAGTCATTAAAACTTTCAAAGCCAGTTAATGTAGAAAGATAGGGCAACAAAATTTTTATCACAAAAAAAAAACTGACTCATGTCAAAATTAAGCCCACAGAAATTGTAAAGTAAATTAAAATAACGAACATTATAATCTTGAGAGTCCAAATTCTATACTACAGGGAACACCGAAATAGCCATGCCAATAAGTTGTACTAACACAAACTATCACATAAAGAACGGATCCTGCTGATCTCATGCTCAAAACGATCGATACCTGATGAGCAGCTGTATTCTGATTCGCCGGCTGTAATTGCTGCACCTGTTGTTGTAGCTGGTTGAAGGCTTGTTGTGATGACTGAAACGTGGCTTGCAGATTATGCTTCTGTTGTGACAGCATCTGAGCCAAATGTGATGGAGACTCGAGCTGCTGGGTGGGTGGCAATTGTTGGTTCACCTGGACATGTATCTGTCCGGGTGGAGCCGGTGCATTACGCTGCCCTTGAGTCAGGGGAACAGAGAATTGACTGTTCTGTACAGGCAACTGCTGAGGGGTCTGCATTTGTCCTGGTTGAATGTACGATACCTGTAAACTTTGAAGGCTTGAAAAAGAACCTGAACTTGAAGTTTGTACTTGTGGAGGCGGTGGCAAAGTCTGCTGTGACTGGAGAGGTGGTCTCTGTCAAGTGAGATTTTTTAGGTAAGGCAGAAAAAATTGATGCAAATGCAAGCCAAAATTCTTCAGTGAAATACAAGAAAAGGGCGTAAGATCTTAGAATCAGACATGAGAGTTACAGAAACCAGTTTGTTAAATATTTCTACATACTATAGGTCCAGGAAGAGAACTCTCTGCCTTGCCCGGAAAATTTCCCTTAGGACCCTAGAAGCAGGCCAAGAAAAACATAAGTATATTGAATATAAAATTTCAGCAGTACTCATGTTTAAATTTCTACTACTCTTCGGTCTAAAAATGATAAGCAAAAAAGAGTGTCATTATCTTACTGGAATAGAAGAGTCAGCCATATCACCCGGTCTAGCAGGAAACTTGTTTCCAACATGAGCAGGAAGTACTGGGGTTTGTGGGCTCACTGGAGGCCAATTAGAAGGAATAGAACTGCGAAGTGGCTCACCATGGTCCAGTGGAGGCCTACAAAGGTTGTCAAAAGAAGAAGAAAAAAAAAAAAANNAAAAAAAAAAAAAAAAAAAAAAAAAAAAAAAGAAAAAAAACACGAACATAAAATATTAGAAAAATCTGAAAACAAAAAGAATTGTAATAAGAAGTGAATCATAGGAGATACCAGGGAAATACCTGATTGCAGGAGATGAAAAACGAGGGCCAGAAGCAGGTCCGCCAAAAGAAGAACCACTTCTGGGAATGAATTTTTAAAATATAAAACAGTTCTTGGATGAAAAAAACGACAATGAATTCGATTTTAGATTCAAAAATTAGATTAAGAAAAAAATTTCACTCTAAAGAGAGTCTCCAGCCTGACGCTGCACAAATATGACCGGGGTATATATTAACATATATGTGTAGATATATTGTGTATCACGAAGAAAAATGCGGATATAGTCGAATGGTAAGATTTCTCTTTGCCAAGGAGAAGGTGCGGGTTCAATTCCCGCTATCCGCCCAAGATCAAGATCAAGATAAAACAGATAATTTTAACTAGAAACCGAAGAAAACAAAAAAGAAAAGTTCTAGTGTGCAAAAGCAACCTGGAATCCCCAGGTCTAGGTCTCTTAGGATCAGCAAATCTAACCGTTAATGGCTGGTCACAACCCTGAAATGAAAATTTCATATGATATACCAACTGTCTATGAGACAGTAATTGAATGCAGATGAAAGGAACTTACTCTCATGGTGTATGTTCCATTAAGCGCATTAATGGCTGCCTGTGCCATATCTCTCTGAGAAAATTTAACAAATCCGCATCCTTCAAACAAATGTATCATGAGTTACAAAACAGAACAAGAAAAAGAGATCATTCAAATCTTAAATGCCACTTGTATAGGTAATATACCCCATACATCACCCGCCACACTAAAGTGATATAATGATAAGAAATTCACTTTTTCACTCAAATCATGTACTAGCCGTATTCTGATTGGGGAAGCTCCCGTGGATATCCATAGGTGGTTAACTATCAAATAATTGAATGGTAGCTGAGACCAGCAAGCATGAAGGTACATACCACGGCTCTGCTTCATTTCATCTCGCATCAAGTAAACATCTTCAACTCTACCATAAGGTGAGAAAATCTGTACAAGGTGAAACATTTGTCTCGATAATTAAGACTGATCCTTCAGAGGGTTAGCTAAACCAACGTGATGTAAGAATTAACAAATAATGTTACAAAAATTACGATAAACTTAAATAATCCTGAAAAAAATGCCAAAGGATCATAAGCAAAAATGCACGGCCTGCCCTTTTCCCAGCCTGAGTAGGCTCAGTTGAAAAAAACTATAAAGATGGAATTGACTTTGAACAAGATGGTTCCCTCATCCCAAGGCTCTTAAAACGAAGCTTATATACACATATGGGGATTGGGAATGTAATATAGTACTTGTACGAGGTTATTTTTTATTTGCCAGTGAAGACTGAAAACTAAAGATATCATTCAGCAACATAACATACTTCTTCAACTTCCTTCACAGTAGCTTGTTTATTCAATGACCCAACAAACAACTTGAACTCCGTTGCGCCTGCAATAAGGCCATAAGACCAGTAAAAAAAAAAAAAAATTAACAGGCTGCTAGTTCTCCAAATTGTATATAAATAAAGTTTAACCCCCACAATTGCTCCTAGTAGCAACAAAAATAAAATTCACAAACAAAATAAGAGAGCCAAAATTGCTACAGAGCAGGAATCATCGAAAAAGTACCAAGCCGTTCTCTCTCTCCATCAGCATATCTGACTTGGATAGGACCCATAGCCTGTGTGCCAGATAAATAAAATAAGGAACATAGGAGCCCAAGATATGAGTCATCAGCATAAGTAAACCAAGCAGAAGATATACCCCAGGTAATGTATATTGATTATGCAGAGCCGTAATGGCCCTATCAGCCTCTTCGGAAGTAGCATACTTAACGAAACAGCATCCTGCGTAAGCAAAGTCGAAAGCCAGCCTTTGTCAAGATATTCAATTCTCACCCACACACACATACACAACAAAAAAAAA